GCTTCTACAAGGCAACACACACCTTTACTACTACAGCACTTTGACCGTTATTATTTCTAACTCCTCATTTAAGCACTAGTCCTCTGCAGTAAAAGAGACAGTAGCATGTTAGTAATCACATAATAAATTATGAATGCCTGTACAATACTTTATACCTGTATACATGTGCACTTAGCTAGTCACTTGCATTATGATTAATAATGCATACAACTTGATATGCTATTGCCATGAGTCAAGAGCTGGTGGTTAAATGATTTATATTTACTGCAGGTAAAGTTGACAGAGTTCAAATCCATATTTATTTTGAAAAACACAAGTTTGAATTATTTTATCTTGAGCTGCAATAAAGTGTGATTTCCTACCCTTTGAATTGGAGAGCTATGAAAAAAATATGAACAATTAACATCTTATCTGTTGCAGATTGCTTGTTGAATGACCTGTTTGGAGTTTAATTTTGACCAGAATGATGTGCTAATGACTAGTCCAAGTGGACTGCTGCTGTCTTTCAACAACTCCAAAATTTTCATTTCATTTTGCTCGTGTGAACGCGATTTTATAAATGTTTTTACTGGAACTAAAGCTAAGTTTCAGCAGCTAGCTGCAGCACTTCTGTTGTAGGGAAGCCTCATCATAAACTCTACATTCTGTATCAGTCTTCTTAAACCACATGTTTTGCATTCTGTTAGATATAGGTCTCTGAGAAAACTCAGAATTAGCCACAATCTGTATCCACAGATCAAAGCTGTACAAAAACCAGAATATTAGAATAAAGTGCTTCGCTGGTTTGAAACACTAGAAACCTTTCAAGGCTGGAGTTGTGTTGTGACGGCAGCAATCTGCAAAACAGCAGCTAGAAGCTAAAAATCACCAGAACAGTTGTTAAACATTTAATGTAGAAAAACAGTAGCAAAGAGACACAATTAGCAAAGGCAGAGCTAACATACGCAAACTATAGCAAAAAGCCAAATTGGGAAAAATATCAGCTAAACATTAAATACTATATAGCAAAAATATTGACGAAAGAATAATATTAGCAAAATCAAAGCTACAAAACCATAGGTAAAAACTAGCTACAAACTTAAACATTTATTAGCTTCTTTTTTATTCAGATTCAGATATTCTTTATTGTCGTTCGCACCACATGTGGTTTCAAATGTTAGGGGCTGGATGTGTCTTAGCAGTGGAAACCTTTTATGCTTTGTGGTTTTAGTATCTGCAGAACACAGTTAACTCGGTGGAAGGTTATACTGTACATCATGTGAAAATGAGGGGTTCTAGTTTGTAGGCTATATTTAAATATATCCCACAAATATAGCCGATGTACAGTAACGGCAGGAATTGACACACATGCTGTATTAATGATTTCTTGCATGCAAAAATAATAGGACATATTTACTCTTCAGATGACAAAAGACAAAAAAAATTAAAAACATGACTGTATTCAGCTATCACCTTTTAGTGAGGGTGGTCCAATGTAAGGGAAAACCTTCCACCCATGCTCTTCTCTAAAAGTCTATGAATAAACATAGACTCATTCTGACCACACATTGTGGGTTGCTACTTGCCAACGGGTTTTTTTTTGGCTCAAAGTTTATATAAATGCAGATGTAAGCTCCACATCATTGCAGTTTGCTGAAAAAGCCAAAGATTTTCCAACCATGCTCCCATTCTGTTAATTCAGCTGCCTTTACATGAACCTTCTCTGTGATTGGTCCCAGCTTTGCCTTGGGCCCAGAAGAAACTATATTTTTCACAGAAATGTTCCCATTGCTGCTGGCACAATGTGACCTGCAGGAAATAACAGAGAATTGTGACTGTAACAATGTTGAAGGCGCCATGCCAGATCACAGCTGTTGGTTCAACCACATGACATATTCTTCTGGGTTAATAACCAAAAACGCTGGAAGATCTCTAATGGTTTGGTATGTGAGACAGTGAAGTCTGGGCTTTGTGTGAGGAAAACTGAAAGCAGCGAAATGTGTGGCATTATGAAAAAAAAAAAAAAAAAAAGGAATGAGATTCTGGGCATTTAAGTTCACCAGTCACTTTGTCTGAACTTGAGCTCCTTTAGTTTAGAAAATTGCTGCTTGACTCGTGTCTTGAAAATTTTAAACCTCAGCTGCGTTTCAGATCCCTCTTCATCGCATCTGTTTTAAAGAGTCCTCTTCTTGCCGCCAGCCACGCCCATCCTTCCTGGATGTGAGGTCACAACACAAGGATCAGAACAAAGGATAAACTCCATCATTGTAACCAAACTGTGAGAACAAACTGCTTAATCTCTCCTTCAAATTGTATACAATTCAATGCTGCAGCAAGAAAACAACAAAACTTGAAGATAAGAAATTTAACTCTGTTTTACTGTATAAGACAGCCTGATAAAAATGTAGGAATACAAGGTTTAAAATAATGATCATAAAATGTATTTTATTTTGAAAAAAATGGCTAAATTTTGGTTAAAAGCTCCATCTGCTCGCTCCCTTCTTGTAGCCAACAGTATTTTACCTGTAAAATTATAAATTCTTATTTATATAGACAAAATATGTAAACAAAACTTACCTACACCCTGAAAAAAAATCACCTTTTTTACACCTCCCCAGACTTTTATAACCGTCACATTTTTTCTGAGTCAGTAAAACAGCGCGTCGTCAATCAGTTTCCCATGATCTTATTAACAGGCGCGGTATTCATTTTTTTCATTGTTCTTTTTTGCATTGTTGTTTTCATCCCAAAATTTGGGTTTAACTGAAATTCAGACTATTTTGTTTAAAGCCATGGCATTAATGAGTTGCCTGTTAGCAAAATATCTATTAGTTGTACAGCTGAATAACAGAGCCAACCCAGTTCTAGATGGCCTCAATAGCAAAGTGACCCGACACTACACAACAAAATGAAATGAATTTTAGATGCTGAGCTAAAATTTGGTGAGTCATAACATTTGTTTCACTTTTATAATTTCACCTAAACAGCCAAGCCAGCTTAATAAAGTTCAGTCACATGACTGAAGCATCCACCTGCACATTTTGGTTCAGTTCAGGACAACGTTTTAATCTTTTATGTTATAGTTTTCATTGACAGCTTGGATAAGCTGTTAGCTGGTCATGTTGTTGACATTAAACTCTACTCCTCCAATCTAAGATCATTTGAGAAGCTATGCACTACAAGTAAGATAATAACTGTTCGCAATTGTTTCACAAAACTCACCTGAAACAATTTGAACTGCCCATTTCAAGTCTCCAAAGTCTTTTTTTTTTTTGGACTCATACATGTTTAAAGTTGCCTTTTGTATGTTCAGAGCTTAAGAAAGAGAGACAAACATGTTGGCATAGAGCTACTTTTATTAAACTTGTGTCCCTCTTGGTGGTTCTGCTGTGCCTGAAGTAAAAAGCCTCTGTCTGGCCAGATGGAGGGAGGGAGGGAGGGATGGGGAGGTACTTCCAGTCCACCACTGGCAGGCTCCGAAGAGTTGCAGACATCAGTGAAAGATGAGGAACTGCTCTTTACTAGCCTCTAAATCAGTCAGAGGAAACAAAGAGAGGCATGACGTTTGACGCTGGATGTAGGAAAGGCAGAAAATCGACTTCACAGCCATGAAATGTGCATCCTTCGTGTGCGTTTGCCTTTTAAATAATCACTTCTTTCTGCGGTAAGTTGAGCTCCGTTTGCCTTTCGGGACAACTACTCTTGGCAGCTTAAATCTTTCAAGATGCAAGTTATAAAATTACACATATATTCATATTCATGCTAAATTTGTACCTGTGTAGAGTCACTTTCTGCTAAACTTATTATTCAGCTGAGCTATAAACTGTAATATTCATGAAGAGGTTTTAAAGGGCATCAGTGCAACTAAATTTACTTTTGTAACAGTGTAAACTGAAACAATTTGTTTTTATAAGAGACGTAACGTGGACCAAGATCAAAAGAAACGTTCAATCTGCTGCCAGTGGCTCATTAGGGTTGCCATGGTAACTGCACACCTGTATCAACAACCATAATCAGAGTAGACAGAGAAGCAGAGCAGGAATTAAGCCTCGAATAAACAGTCACTGTGCAAAAATTGTAGGTGTCGTGAAAAAGAATCCTGAATTTTGAGAGTCAGGAGCATCTGGTTGCCATGTATGTCAATTTTTATATGGCTACAGTGTTTTATTTAGATTACATGACAAGGTATAAAGACATTTTACGTCCTGTTTTAAAGAGGAAATTCTGAGCTCAGATACAATAGAAGCGAGTGTGCACATGCACCATGTATTTATTAACCTTTATTTAACCAGGCAAATCCCATTGAGGTCACAGATGTATTTTGCAAGGGTGGTCTGAACTTGAAGGCAGCCTAACATATGTGTTTTTGATCTGTGGGAGGAAGCCAGAGTACCTGGAGAAAACCCACGCAAGCACGAGAAGAACATGCAAACTCCACACAGAAAGACCCCATAGTCCAACCGGGGATTGAACCCAGGACCTTCTTGCTGTGAAGCAACAGTGCTAACCACTAAGCCGCCGTGCTGCCGTAAGCTGCTGTAGGTCTTGTTGTAGTAAGAGACACTGTAAAAGAAAACAAAAATAGTTATGTTTTAATGTATAAACTGTATAATACCTAGAAAAAACTAGGGGAAGTTTATCCATCTCAAGTTAGAATGTGACATCTCTAGTTTGCGAGGTAAATAGTTTATGATAAAATCTCCCAAAATAACAAAGGTTAAATTGTGATTGTGTGAAAACCAGTGAATATATCAAAATGCCAGGTCAGACTAACGTGCAGCTTCTGGTGACTGGTTAAAACGCTGATCTTTGTTTTTAATGTTAAGTATGACTGAACGATGGAGGGCAAGTTTCCCCCCTTGTTTCACCCAAATCCCATTGTTTTCTGTGGGGAAACGTGGATGTTTTGATGTTGGCACCAATGAATGTTAAAGGAATATGTTGCTTTCTAAATAACTTTCACTGCTCTGCTGCAGCTGATTTTACGAACACCGGAAACCCTGCTCAACTCTGACATCGAGCTCCAGCAGCTGTGGATCTGAAGATGAACATCGTACTCCTCCACTACAACGTTACAGGGAAGCTGGACCACCGGCCAAGCATCAGCATGCACCCAGGCACTGTAGATGTTCAAACTATAGTGTGCCTCATCATTTGTAGCTTCATTGTCCTGGAGAACCTCACTGTCCTGGTGGCCATATGGAAGAACCATAGGTTTCACAACCGAATGTACTACTTCATTGGGAACCTGGCGCTGTGCGACCTGCTGGCAGGAGTTTCTTATGCCGTCAACCTGCTTCATTCTGGAGAGAAGACCCTGGAACTCTCACCCACTCTTTGGTTGATCAGGGAGGGCAGTACGTTTGTCGCACTCAGTGCCTCCATCTTCAGTCTCTTGGCTATTGCTATAGAGAGACACCTGACTATGATCAAAATGAGGCCTTACAATGCCAACAAGAACTACAGAGTATTTTTATTGATAGGGACATGCTGGCTGATTGCTGTATCTTCAGGAGCTTTACCCATTTTAGGCTGGAACTGCATTGGCAACACCCCTGACTGCTCCACGGTTTTTCCTCTTTACAGCAAGAAATATATAGCGTTCTGTATCACTGTTGTTATGGTTTTGCTCTTGGCCATGTCAGTGCTTTACGCTCGCATCTACATCCTGGTGAAGTCCAGCAGCCAGAAGGTGAGCAAGCACAGCAATTCGGAGCACGCAATGTCCCTTCTGCGAACAGTCATCATTGTAGTTGGGGTCTTCATTGCCTGCTGGACACCCATCTTTGTCCTGCTCCTGGTGGACGTGGTCTGTAAGAAGCGCTACCCCATCCTTTACAAGGCTGACTTGTTCATTGTGGTGGCTGTGCTCAATTCCTCCATGAACCCCATCATCTACACTCTGGCCAGTCGAGAGATGAGACGGGCCTTTCTGGGTTTGGTTTGTGGCGTTTGCTACAAGGCAAAGGCTTCTGTGAACGGCAGTGGGAACAGGCAGTCCTTGGAGCCCAGCCGTAGTAGAAGCAAGTCGTGGAGCAGCCAGAGCAACCCAAACCAGAACCAGCATGGCTCCAGGCATGCGGAGCTGGAGACGAGGCAGGAAGCTTACACAGACCCTGGTGACATCTCAACAAAGAGCGACGCTGCTCAGGAGGGCCTGGAGAGACACTGACGGTACTGAAAGAAGGATGAAAGTAGCATACAGTAAATATCCAGAGGAGATACTGATGAACTTCTGACGCCAACAGGTTCACTTGTTCTTCATGGACAGAGAGAACTGACTTCCTCTACGTAATCATTTTACACATATCTTTGACTAAACAAAGACATATCAAACCTGGTGGATTAGAGTTTAATTTGAGCAAAAGTGAAACAAGGAAGTTCATACTTTGTAGCAAGTTCACATTTTAGAAACACTGGGTTCAACAGCCCAGCGAGAATACAATGTGTGAGTCTTCAGACCAAGTCTTTAAGACTTCTTTCTGCTTTATTAAGAAGGACTTTCGTGAAGGTTTTTTTTTTTTTGTGGGGGTGGGGCTTGCTGCTCATTTTCATTCTAGTACTCCACCATTTCCAGGAGACTGTTGTTGTTTTTTTGTTTGTTGTTGTTATTTAAGCCACCTAACTTTGACCTATAAATCATTGTGACAGGAAAAAGTTCCCAAACTCAGAAATGAACCAGTATTTTGTTAAAAAAAAAAAATTTAAATATAGGATCTTTAGGCAATGTGTTACTATAAGTGCATCATAAAAACACGTGTCTTTGTTTTCTTGAATTTATAAAAATAACACCAGCGATAACAGTTTGATGCATAAAATTGCATTTTAACACCAACAATTTGATTCTCAAAGAGTCAAATTGTTTCTACCCGAATTGGCTTTTGTACCATTTAAAATAATTCACGTTGTCCTTAAAAAAATACTTTCAGACACACTCGATCTGCTGTAGACATTTTGTAACACATACTGCACATTATGCTTTTAGATAGAGACTGGACATAAAATTGATTTTTTTTTTTAACGTTTTGCTAAAAGGTTACAATAAAAGAAAATAAATATATATGTATGTATGTGTATATATGTAAGTATATATGTATGTATGTATTTGCTTGTACTCATTGTTACTGTATAGTTAAACTGTATTAAACTTATGAGGTGACAGATTGAAGAATCACAAACTTGAACTGCATTTATGACCTCTGTGCTGGTGCCAGGGCTCCCTCTGCTGGTCATGTAAGTTACTGCATGCATGCTGCACATTTAAGAAATAAATTTTATAAATGCATGACACTGACCTGCCAATAGTTTGAGAGGAATGAGAATGCTGCATGTGAATTAGAAACGAGACTGTTATTTTACTACTTTGTTATGGCTGATGCAAAATACTCTTCTAAAAGACTTTAGTGGTGGAAGTTTGCACCTGATTTACAAAAAAACATATTGGAGTTTTGAACCTTTGGTACAATTTTCAAATCACAATTTCTCTCCAGTCTGTTTTTAGTTGAAAATTTTAAAATCTATAGGGAAAAGATCTTACAAACTTTTACATTTTAAACAAAGTATTCAAGCCCAGTTTGACCCCATCCTTTCTAGGTTGTCTTGTAAATGGGCCTCAGTGCCAGAAACGTGAGAAGCAGCAGATCAACCAATCACCATCCAGCTCTCAGAGGCATCTTTTTGGACACTTAGATTTGCAAACATTTATAAATGGAGCACAAAAATTTGTTGCAAATGGAAGAACGCAAGAAAACAGGATGCCATGTGTCAACAAATAGTACATTTAATCTCTAAATGATGTTCATGTCCTGTCAGATATGAGTCATATAGAAGAAGAGTGTTGTTTATTTTTAGCCATTATCTTCAAATCTGTGGTCACAGCTAATCGTATAGTGTTTTTACTTACCATGAGTAGCAATCTTCCTGTGATGTTAAATTCCACAAAGAAAGGTGTTGAGTAAATTAAACGCTTTTATGTGTAATATTTCATTTGTATGAACTGTTTGCACCTAATGTTTCAAAGGAATAGAAAAAAATGTGTGTCCATTTGGATGGTAAAAGTTTCAGTTCATGACCATTTGTCACAAAAATGATCATGATTATTTGTCTTTCTGATTGTTTATGCCACTATGTCAGTGTAAATCAGTCAGCGTGTTGCTACAAAGAATACCAGTGATTTATTGTACATGTACTGTGTATAAATACAGCAACTATAATGAGAAGTTCTTATTGTTAAATCATTAAAATCAGTCAACTCTATCAAAGATTGGATACAAACATTTTAATTACACAGGTGAAACAAAATTAAGGTTAAACTGGCATTACAAATTGTATTTTATTACACTATATGATAATTGGAATTGAAAATACATTATTTTGCTAGTTTATGTTTTGAAAAGTAACAAAGTTGCTGATGATTCAGAGGTTTGAGAGTTTTGTGGGAGCTACACTGAGTAATCTCTGAAATATTCTGAGCAACAAAGATTGTTTTTTTTTTACATTTTGTTAATTTGCAGAACTGAAAAATACATTTTTAACTATGGGGTCAATTGTAAAATGTTAATTGTAAAAATAAAAAAAATAATGGAACTTGAACTGCGAGATGATTGTTGCACAGGAACTTCACACATACACACTTTTAATGCCACCAGTCTTGCTAAAATGTAATAAACTCATGCAACCCTAATAACAAACATGTGAGCATCATTTGATACGGTTAGTGTTGTTGTTTCTGTAATGCTAACATTCACAGATCAATACATGCTGGCCAGGTTAGGACAGACAACAAAGCAGCTCCACACTCTAGAAGTAAAAGTTTTGTTCAAAATTGTTTGTATTTTGCCTAAATTAATCATTATGTCTTAAGAAATAAGACGTGTTCAAACAGTGTTTGTTCAAAATAATGCTTTTGCTTTCATTTACCACATTCTCATTCAACAGTTTTCTTTGTATTTCATGACAAATTAGCATTTCTTACAGAGCAGGAGTACTATTGTTTACTTTTAAGTACCATTTTATTCTTGTATTTCAGTGCACACTCCTCCAGCTGTACACTTTAAATATGTCCATTGATACCCGATATCTTTCTATGCCGATGACACTGCTGTATGTAAAAAATACATTTAGGTTGGTGCATTTAATCAACAGAGAGCGTAGAAAAGTGACTGAAATTGTTGAGAGCATTTGTAGCTGTGCTCCATTCTGTCTGCAGCACTTTGCAGATTGTTAAAATTGCTGATATGGTTTTTCCATCATATCAGTTTTGTGTGTAAAATTATGACTTTCTTTCCTAAAGAACGTCCTTGTAAATAATATATTATTTTGGTCATTTGTAACTGAAAAACCTAACAGATTAACACATCTTCATGTTAACACGGTGTATATTTATAGCAAAGTCAAGCTCGAGGTAAAGAAATAAAAGATAAAGCTTTACGCCAGCGTTAACACTCATTATAGTTTTGCTGACAGTGTGCAATTATAATTCAACACTTGCTCTTGTCAAGGACGGATGCATTCTCCTCCTCTCCCTCTCCATTTTGCTTTGCTCTGTCCCGTCTGTGAAACTACTTTAGAGCCTCTCTTTTACAAATCTTCCGAAGCATAATTCTACCATGGATTTGGTCAGTTGGTCCCTCAATGCAATTGGTAACATTTCTTCGAAGAGAGGACAGGCTTTAGTTGAGATGATGTGCCCTGTTCTGTCAATCAAGGATGTTAAGGGTGCATATATAATTGGATTCATGATAACTGGTTTCCTGATTTTTGGATTCGGCTGGTTCCTGGTCTATCAACAAACAAGGAAGTCGTCGGCAGCAAATTTGGCCCTGGTCGAGCTGCCTGCCTTATGTGATGGCTTGGTTCGTGCCTCGAGCACCAAGACTCAAATGCTTTTGGCAGGATGGATCAGATCTCGGGGAATACTCTCAGGCATGGTCCAGTGGTGTGGCCATTTAATCTGGACGTTTCGGAACTGAGAGGACTGACACAGACTCAAGGTAGACAAAATCAGTAAAGTTCTGCTTGTCCCCAAAACAATCGTGTTTATCTGAAATTGGCTCCATGTCTGGCTTTGACAGGACACCTTATCTGAATTCACCTGGAAGCTCTGTAAACATTGATGCTCAGTGTCCTTATGTGCTTGTGTGCAAGTTATTTGTTTTTTTGTTTTTTCAATTTTCAGGCTATTAAGCTTCAGCCAAACATTAAGAGGATGTTAGGATTTTTTTTTTTTTTTCCTCCAAAACCTATGTTGTCACTTTCACCACTTTATTGTCTGTCCAAACAGGTCTCACTTGTAAATGAGTCTTTGAGGCTCAATGTGCTTTATCTGTTTAAGTAAAGGTTGAATGAATGAAGGCAGGCTGAATACGAAGCAAAAACTCAATTTCAATGTGCTTCTATAAAGGCAAGGAACCAATTTTTATATATTTTTTTAAACTTTGATTTAAAAATAAGTTTGTTACAATGTATAGTAGACCTACTTATATATGCATGAATCCAGGTAGGTTTTGCAGCTCTGCATAAGTTTTATTTATTAAAAAAGGAGGGATGACTGACTCCTGGGCTGTACCATCAGCCTGCATGGCTAAATCAGCCACACTGTTGTATATTGTGCATAAAAGCCTAATTTAAAAGTCTGAAAATATTATCAAGGCCTGCAGCATGGACAACAAGAACAATTCTACACATTCACAGTTTTATTGCCAACAGTCATACAGAATAATGACAAACCCATACAACTAAAAGATTAAACATCATTTGGACTCGTTTTTATTTCTATTTTTTCAGTTTACCTGGCGCAAAATAGTGAGCTTCTGTGTGACTCCCTTTGACAAAAAAAAAAAGTATTTATAATTGGGAAATGATACATCTATAATACATATCATAGTGAGGAAGGGGAAAAGCGGGTTGGAAGGAAAGAGACGGAGATTTAGAGAGAAAACAGTTGTCTCAAGCAGCAACACGCAGCAGGGCAAAAACACAACCTCAAGTGAACAGGCATGCCCCATTGAAGATCAGCTCTTGCACGTTGAAGGAAGAAAGTGAAAGAAAAACACCACACCTTTAGAAATAAAAGGCACATTTTCAATAACTCAAATAAAGAGGCCATGTACTTATCAGTGTCTCAGCGTGTTTGGTCATATAATTTATTTTTGTTGCAAAGTCAACTGTGACATTATCGGTGAGATTCAAGCCTGGAGTTGGTTCTGTTCATTAAATGTTGCACTATTTCTTTAAGTTATTCCACAGATTCAGTCTTTTCACGTTAAACATATTTAAATTTGAATATGTGAAAAATAATCATGACAATATTTCCTCTCACAAGGCGATGTAATCATGTCAAACACTGCAACAGATGATGGTGGGTTAACGTTTGATAAGATTCCCAACACCTCATTATGCTCGGAGATCTGTACACCCCGTCTTGCAGCAAAACACAGGCACATTATATTACATTGCATCGGTCTAGTAAAACTCATAGGCTTATTTTGGTTGATCCGAAGTGGTCCAGTGCGTTTCTAATGCAATGCCACGTTCATTTGGTATCCATAAGAATTCTGACTAAAGTAAGGATGAAACCATTTAAAAAGGGCTGCTTCCAGAACCAAATTAGCATTTTCTTTCTTACAAAAAACACTGTAGACCTAAAGAGTGAACTGTCCAGAGGGATAATCAAGTAAATATGACTGTAAATTGTAAATAAAGTCAGATTTATCAAGTAAAAATGGCTGAAGACTTGTCTCATGTCAAGTAGAATTGAGGTGGTGGCATCTAGTGGCTAACACGTAGTCATGGCAAAAGAAAAGAACAGAACCAGTGTAAAGCAGGTGATTATTGTGTACCGAGTGCACTCTGAGTGCAACTTTTTGTCTAATTACTTCTCTCTATGCTGGTAACTTGCCTAAGTACTACCGACACAGAGGTTTCCATTGTGCTACTCATTGTGGTCATTCAAACGAAATTCAGATATTTAAAAGTTCACTAAAAAGCAGATTGTGAATTATTAATAGATAAAATAAGATTTTACCTGTATGACTCAAGTACCAAAAACTAATCACCAACTAAAACACCAAAAGGAATTGAGAGAAAACCAATTCAACATAATCACCGGTTGAAAAGCAGAAGTATTTTACAGTGTCAGCATACACAAGCACCTCGTTCAAATAAAGGGGGATCGAGGTCTACAAACATGGCCACGAGAACGTTAGTTTTAAGTCATGCGGCTGCAGTGGCACCAAGAAATACTTCAATAAAAAGTCCATCATCAAAGCCATTGACAGCACGATGAACGGTGTCTGTTTGAAAAACTGCAAAGCAAAAACTTTCAGTTTTATTATAATCAACAAAAGCAGGTTCCATGTAGAGACTAATTCAGTAAGCTGTCTCACCGGTGGTGAGTTTAAGGGCGTTTCTGCTAATGCAAATCATTGAAAACTGCCTTTCTGTCTCTTTAACCACAAAGCCAGCAGCTTCTGTAGAAATACGCTTGTGCTTAACAGACAAAACTAATATTTTAGACTGTTATTCTAAAATATTCTCATCGCCTCTTTGAGGTTTGATTTGCACTTCATCTAAACTACTAGAACAATTCTTCTTTTTATTTTGTATTTTATTTTTAAACATCAAATCAAGAAATGATGTCCAAATGCAGCCATTTCTTCGCAAAAATATAGCATTTCAGTTTTCACAACAAAATAATAATTCTAGAAATATTTTCTTTATTCCTAAACAAATGTGTTTCCCAGTGACTCGGGTAAAGCAGGACAGTTCAGAGCACACTGGACCTTTTTAGGCATCGCTTTCTCCTCGATTCATCTTTAAGTTCATGGTGGGCAGACCTGTTTCCCATCAGGCATTGCGGCGTTACAGTTTCCGCTCAACAGGCTGAAGCAGACACAGTTCACTCCCAGCTGACACGATTGGCAGATTGTTGTCACGGTGATGGCCAATAAGGTGGCTAATGCTGTCAAATATATGATCTTTTGTCCGTACCTTTAAACAAAAGGAGACAAAAAAAGATGTTTAAATATTTTAGTTGTTGTTTTAGACACATAAATTAACTTTTCCTAGTATCCTATTTTACATATCAGGCATATTTACCATGTTTTACGACGTATAAGTCACAGTTTTTTGCATAAATTAGCATGCCTGTGACTTATACTGCGAAGCAATGTATTTATGTTTTTCTTTTTTCATATTTATAACCCAATGTTTGGCTGAGATGTGATGATTTCATTCATTCCGACATAGAAAACATTGAACACTCCCATTTTCAATTGATAGAGGGTGGTTGACTAATATGGCAAGCTAAGTGTCTCATTAATAGGTAAAAGTGGTTATTAATGAGAACTTGGCTTGCCATAAAATGCCACCTTCGTCTCACCCCGGAACTCCTGGAGCAAACGTCATATCAGCTGCGTTTTGCCATGCCGCCCAGGCGAAATGTGACATGTATGGCGGAAAGTGCATTTATTAAGAAAAAGTTCAACTGAGACACATCTTTGCTATAATGTCGAGCAAACAAATGATTTTTTTTAGGTGGTTATCTTGTTAAATTTCGAAGAAATGCGCTGCGAGTCATCCCTCTGTGCACTCCCTCTGCTGCAAATTGGCTTTAGAAATGCAGCTGATGTTACATAATGTTGAGCAAACAAATAATTGTTTTTAAGTGTTAATTTTGTTAAATTCTTGTTAAAGTCCTCCTGTGCATGCTCCCGTGGCCTCCATTTGGCAGCCAATTGATTTTTGGCACCACACCAGCACACGTTTCCGGGTTGTCACTTGTGGCACATAAACTCAATGCGTCAGCAGTGACACATAATAGATGCAACTTATACGGCGAAGCAACACATTTGTTTTATTCCACTTTATTAGACATTTTGGGACTGATGCGACTTATACGGCAGAAAATACAGTTTCTAGAATTCCTCTCTGACACAAACTCTTATCCCCTTTCTTACCGTGCCCTCAGGGTCCACAAGCAGTAGATGTTTTGCAAGTCCGTTGTGCATTCCTGTCAGTACATAGGACCCTGGGTTGGTAGTGCTTGTGCGGACGAGAAAGTCTCCGTCATTTTTAAGCAGTTTCTCAGCATCTCTGCGGCTCATTTTGCCATGGTACCATGTCTGGCCCTCCAGCTCGTCCTGCGTGCGGAAAGCCAGCGATCTCACAAGCAGGGGGCTTGAATTGTCCACAGATGCTGACTTGTGAAGATTAGACACCTGGCTCTGGGATTGGCCCTGCGATGACGGCTGGGACTGGGACTGAATGGCTTCCTCAAAGGGCTCTGGTACAGATGAGAACAGTGTCAAAAAAAACAAGAGAAAATGTGCAAGCACAGTCATTTAAAATCCACTATATGGACTTTAAATTATACATTTTTTAAATCGCATTTGACTGTCAATAGTTAGGTGGAAAAAGCTTTGATTTTTGAAGTGATAACATATTTCCTATTTTTCATAAAACTGATTGCTAATTCACCCTTTGCCTTTCCATTGCTTGGTTTTACATCAATAAAAATCTACGTGTGTCCGTTTTTACTTTCACAGAAATATGAGACCTAAGCAATGATGAACTTCAGTTTTTCTTCTTTACATAAGTGAACAAGATGCTCCAACAGAAAAACCTCTTTACATAAATAAATATCGTTATCAGTGGAGTTCACCCATCCTCAGTTACTAGACATTTTTAAGAGCTACAGAAATGCAAAGATGCAACAACCCTAAACTGCACTGGTTGAAAATGTAAAGCTGATTTGACTACAGATGCAGGATATTCAACCTTTGGGCTTCTGATGTGATGCAAGTTTCAAACATTTTAATTATTATCAACATGTAATTTAAAACTTTTAGCATGGGTTGAAGCAATTGTTTCTCGTTGTGATGAGATTCGAGTCACTTGAAAATTTCATCTTTAAACATGTATCATCCGATTATATGCTGATGATATAGCACACTTCTAGACAGAATATCTTATTTTAAAAATAGATTTTCCTTTGCTATTTCATTGAGAACAATATTACTCTATCTGTACACTTTACATTATATGTTTGTTGTAATTTGACATATTTATGCTAATGTCAGTTATGAATATAAACAGTGCAATTTACAGTTTAATCAACACAAAGTCTACACTCTAAAGGTGATGAGCAGGATGTAATTGTTGATGTAATTTTTTATTTTTTTTAATGAACTCCAGACTTTGACAATTGATGGAGAAGATGTTGGAGTTCGTAATAATTTAATAACAGTCATCTGAAAGTATGATCACTTAGTACAGACTGACTGAACTGTGAAAAAAGAAAAAGACTAATACATACACAGGCAGAACAGTGAGTATTGTATATAAATAAGTATCATAATTTATAATCGTTGCATTTGTTTCACAAAAACATATTTGTGCAACAACAGTTAATAATGTTTTGATGCAGCTTGGCCAGAATTTAATATGAAGCATAAATAAAACTTAAACCTTGTAAGATGAAAAAAAAAACATTCACTTACATACTGTTTAGTTCACTGTTCTATTTATAATAACAGCGAAACTTAAGGTAGAGTTAAAATAGGAAAAAAGTTCAGCTATACATTAACATTAACGCTGTTCTCTTCATATCTTCTTGCTGACGTGATGTAATTATAAAGGCATAAAAATGAAGCGGAAATTGGAGCACCTCTTTAATTAGGAACTCAAAGCGTCATTATAAAGACAAAAGATTTTATTCTATTAAAAGACTTTGGGTTCAAAATGAGTTTGTCTTGAATTCAGAGAAGACAAAGAAGCACATGAAGTGACTCAGCCTTGTCATCCTGAGCTGCATTTATTCAGAATGAGCTCATTCAGTAAGTGGTTCATATTAAAAAGTAAAGTCAGCAACTTCGAAGGATTCAAGTAAAATAAATCCAACCTCCCTATCTTTATTTTCCCCTCCAACTGTGACTTCAAATCATACATTTAAAAAAAAAATAGCCACAAATTTTGCTCTAACAGAATTGTTTCTGGACAGGAAATAAAACATCAGACCATTTGACTATAATAAATAAAAATGATAAACATAAATCCACAGTTTGAATAAAACTATGAACATAAACTGACCCTTGAATTTAAATGAACCAGTCTTACTCATGTCAAACAGGTCCTTCTGTGGGCTCCCAGCTGCCATGCCCTTTGTGACATTTTCTGCTTCTGCCTGCAGAGCTGCGAGCACCTGGGCATCAATCTGCTGTGTGTTCACGTATGTGGGCCTCTCTCCTGGTTTCGGCGCCTGACCTTTACTCTCCGGCAGCATGTTGATATCAAACGATCCTGGACATTTGGAGAAACGTTCATTGTCGCACTGCTGCAGGATACGAATGATGCAGAAATAACTTCATCTCACGCCCAGGTCTTCTTACCCTGTTGCAGAAAGATGGGCTTCCTTTCATCTGCCCAGTTTTCACAATGTCTCCCCTGATAATATGTCTGATCCACTGAACCTGGACCCATCTGATGCAGAAACAGTCAATGATTAATAAAAATTAAAAAAAAGTTCTCAAATGAACAAATAGAAATAGTCACAAATTAAGATTGAGGTTAAATTCAAGTTAAAGTTGATTTTTCTGCCTACGTTTCTATGATCTGTCACACTGATCTACATTGTAACAGATTTCTGTATCACAAAGTCATATCCTAAGAAAGATGATTTAATAAAACATGGAAATCAATATTATTTTTGTGTACTAGCGATCGGTTAACAGAGTTTCACCTGGCATCCGTCTGTTGCTGCATTCTGATTGGTCAGCCGCGTGTCGATGAAGCCTCCAGGAGGTGGCATTTTGCCAGGGATGTTGTTATAGTATGGATGTTCTGATGACTCCTCTTCTTCCTCTGTCCATGGCAACTCATCCATGTTTATTACTCTGAGAACAAAATATTTAATTTTATTCATAAACTTTTAGCTTTAATGTTACATTCATTAGAAAAAATAATGTGCACGATTTGCGAATCCTTTAAAGTCTGTATCTGACTGAAAATAAAACCAAAACAGTAATAATAGTTAATTTTTCTAAGTAAACATTTAGCTTATTTGTGTTTAAAACTAACATGGTGAAAAAAATTTAAATAACTTAATTTTGTGGGGATTGTTCCCATTGACACGTCATGTTTTTTGACCACCCGGAAACATGGGCCGGTGTTGAGCCAAAAATCGATTGGCCGCCAAATGGTGGCCATGGGAGCGTGCATGGGAGGACTTTAACAAGAATTTAACAAGATTAACAAACAAAAATATTATTTGTTTGCTTGAAATTATAGCAAAGGTGTGTCTCAGTTTAACTTTTCCTTAATAAATGCACTTTCCAATTCCTACATGTGTCCAGTTGTCTCTACTTTCTGTCTGTCTAAATAGATCTCACTTGTAAATGAATGTTCTAGGCTCAATGTGACTTATCTGTCTAAATAAAGGTTCAATGAAAACTATGACCGTCAAATCAGCTGCATTTTTAAAAGCCGATTTGTGGCTGCGTGCGCAGAGGGACGACTCGCTGTGCATTTCTTCGAAACTTAACAAGATAACCACCTAAAAACAATTATTTGTTTGCTTGAAATAATAGTAAAAGTGTGTCTCAGTTTAACTTTTCCTTAATAAATGCACTTTAATGGTCAAATCAGCTGCATTTCACCAGGGCGGCACGGCGAAATGCAGCTGATTTGACGTTTGCTCCAGAAGTTCTGGAACGAGATGAAGGTGGCTTGGTATGGCAAGCCAAGTGTTTAATTAATATCCACTTTTACATATTAATGAGACCCTTGGCTTGCCATATCAGTCGAGGGCCCTCTAGCAGCTGAAAATGGTAGTATTCAATATTTTCCATGTCAGAATGAATGAAATCGTCAGATCTCAGCCAAAAATTGGGTTATAAATATGGGGGAAAAAAACAAATATGTTGTTTCACTGTATAAGTCACAGACATGCTAATTTATGCAAAAAACTGTGACTTATAGAGCAATAATTACAGCACTTTATCATCTCATCTACTATCAAAGGCCTTGACAGTCCATCAGATTAGGCACATGTATTGTTGGCAGGCAGTGTATAAATGCACACATTGATACAGAAATGAAGATAAATTCTGATGTACTGCGTAGACACACTTTCTGCCATTTAAAATCAAATTTAGCTTCTTTTTTTTCATTTAAATGACTGGTTTATATTGTTTAGATTTTAAATAATCTCTGGACTTTCTTTGGAGACAAAGATGATTATGCGTCTCAAGCACATCCACCTGTCGTTAACGGAGAGCAGCTTGCTGGAGGGACACTGCAGGTACAGCTGGAACCGAAGGTCAAAAGCCTGGCCGATAGTGCGGATAACATCCTGAGCGAGTCCGTCAGGGCACTCGAGGATGTGACAAGCTGACAAAGGTGAGAACAACACATTAACGAACATGTTGCATAACAGACAGCCCAAAGAGAATCTTGGAAAATAATTCTCACCTCTTCGGTTAACAGGATCCTTTGCTACATATGCAACATAATCGGTTGTGTCCTATAATAAAAAAAAAACATGACTTGTAAAGAGCAAATGATTGACGAGATAAGTTTTTGTTTGTTAAATGATAAAAGGTAATGTGTTGACCCTTTTCTATAAGACATGCATACTCGTAAAAAACATACTAAGGTTTAAAAATAATCACTTACAGGGTCTCCACCTGATGCAAAGGAGATGGACTGCATGTGATGGTTGGCAATGATCTGCCAAAAAGAATAAAAAATAAAATAAAATAAAAGATAGGATCCAATTGAATTACAGTGAGTAGTTCTTTGGCATGAATATAAACATAAAAAGACACAAAACTATTTAGTTCATGTACTGGGTTTTCTTTCCTGTTATAACTTATCCTTAATAACCTAACCCTAAAATAAGTATTAAATTGCAGAATATGTGGTTTCCAGGACATTTGTGAGACATAACTACTACCTGTTCAAAATGCCAATGTAGCAGTATCAGTAGTATTGTACCTGTTTGCAGTCGGGGGTCATGAGGTTGAGACTACTGGTGGAGATATTGAGGTTGATGGACATGCCAGCAAACTGGAGATTACTCTTTCCCAAAATGCTGGACAGAGCTTTGGATGGTGGCTGAGAGAAGAGGAGGAAGAAACAATAGAAAAAAAGTTAAACAAATTTAGCTTTGATCTGCTTAAATAGTTGTTATTTTTGTCTGATTTTATCATTTTGAAAGCTCATCAGCAGAGGTCTTCAGTTTCCTGAGTGGTGGCTGAAAGTCAAACAAAACTTTTCAAGGTGCAGATATCAGCAATCACTTAAAGGGAAAAACCCTGGCAACATTAATATTTAGTGAGTAAAACTTCTTCAGGGGTCACCACAGTGAGAAAACTCGCATGAAAGATTTGCACATTTGTTTTACGCTGGATGCCCTTCTTGACGCAACCTGCAACCTCAGGATTGCAAGGCTGCGGCACTGACCACCAAGCTACCGCAACCCCTGATTCATGTTGTGTAGTGCCACCAAAAATAGTTTAAATTAGTTGAATATACTTTTTAAATTCCAGGAGAACAAGAATTACCTCAAATAATGTTTGCAGACAATACTAATTATACCACAAAAAATATTTGCGTAGCTACACAAATGCGACATGTTGGACATTTAAAACAAGAATGACTGAAAAAGCCCATCAAAATTAGCTAAACCCATTTAACGTCCTTTGTATTAAGAGCTAATCTGTGTTGTTAGGTCCACAGCCAAAATAACATTATCTAAAATCACGCGCCCATTCACAGAAACTAGCTTTTACTGAATTATGTTCCCTTCCGTCACATTTGATCAAGCTTTAGAGAGCAGAGTAATGCTTCATTTAACACCTCGCATTAAGACACACACATTCTCCACACAATGCAGATGCACACCAGTGAGCACACAAACAGGACACAAATGCTCACTCACAAGTGCACACACACACACACCAGCTCAGCCTCCTGATCACAGATACTGTGAACTACATGAGTCACTAAGCACTGTGCAGTGTGCAGTGGGCTGGAGCTACACCCACGCACACACAGATCCATCCCTCTTCATCTCTTTTCTCTGCCTCTTATTTCACATGCAGGAAGGAAAACGCACAACATACAGAGCGGATGATTTTTATCAAACATGGAAGGGTAAATTAAAATTTAATGCCACTTCCTTTTCATCCAAGTTTTTCTTTTCACGTGAATTTTTCTGTGATCGCTTCACCCTAAAAGCCCTTCCTCCTTCACTTTTCTGTCCACCCACGTACCTTCCTCTTCCTCAGAGCTCCTTTAGTTCCAGGAACAGCTTCACACAGCAGGCTAATGGCTTCCCTAAAAAAAGAGTGAGACAAGAATGAAGATCAGAACCACAGAAAGTGAAAGATCAGACAAACAGCAATTCTGAACAGTCATGTGGATAGACGACAACAAAGATGTCTGTTGCTCAGACGTGAGTAACCAGAGCCCCACCCTGGAGCCAGGACTGGGAGAGAGGCTTGGTGGCGAGCAACTTGTGGCCAGGCCTCTATCTATGGGGCTTGGTGTAGCTCAGCCTGAATGAGCGACATGTGTTTATCTTCCTGTGGGCCCATCACCTGCATACAAGTTGGATGCATGGTGCCATGGGCAGGAGTTGACGGTGGGGTGGCGGTCACCCTCAAACTTGATGGTGGACACCCTGGGTCAGGGAGTCTATCACGCTAAAGAAGGAGTCCTCTCGGGTCTTGTTAGCTGGTAAGACTCCAAAGGCAGCTGAAGGGTATCGGCGGGCCAAGCAGGCTGCAACCCTCGCTGGTAATTAGGCAAATGTTCGGACGTGGGAGGAATTTGTTGAAACACAGATTCTGGGAATTCATTGGGTGGCTGAAGTGAGGAAAGAGGCACTTCAAACAATGAATGTGTATAGTGGAGGTGGGGTGCTGTTGACATTAACAAGTGATGTCATCGGGTGGTGGAAGGAATACGTTACAAGCCTTCTCAGTGACACCAGATTGTCTTCCATTGAAGAAGCTGAGTTGGGGGACTTAGGGGATGGTTCGTCCATAACCGGAGTGGAGGTCTCCAAGGTAGAAAAAGCTCTTTGTTGGCAAGGCTCCAGGGGTGGATGAGATCCACCCTGATTTCTTTAAGGCTCTGCATGTTGCTGGACTGCATTAGTTGACACACCTTTGCAAGACTGCGTGGACATCGGGAGCAGTGCCAATGAAGTAGACTAGGTGGTTTGTTTCTTCAAAAAGAAGGAATGGTGTGTTCTCAAATTACAGGGTCATCACTCTCCTTAGCCTCCCAAGAAAGGTCTATTCAGGAGTGTAGGAGAAGAGAGTCCAATTGGTGGTCAAACCTCAAATTCAGGAGGAACAATACAGGTTCTGTCATGGCTGTGGAACACTGAACAAACATTTTACTCTCACTAGGGTTCTTGAGGGGTCATGGGAATTTGCTCCAAACCACGTGTATTTTGTGGACTTTGAGAAGACATTCGGCCGTGTTCCTCGAGGTATACTGTTCAGGTGCTCAATAAGTATGGTATTGGAATTGCTGCAGGCCATTCAGTCCTTTTACAAATGTTGGGAGTTTGGTTTACATTATCGGCAGTAAATCATATTCCTTTCAGGATAGGAGTCGGACTCCACCAAGACTGACATTTGTCACATGTTCCATTCATACATTTTATGAACAGAACTTCTCAGTGCAGAAAGTGGGTAGAAGTGGTCCAGTTCAGTGGCTGCAGGATTCAGTCTCTGCTGTTTGCGTAGTATGTGATCCAGTTGGTGTTGTACCACAACAACTCTCACTGGAGTGGTTTGTAATTAAGTGTGAAGCAGTAGAGATGAGAAACAGTAATTCCATATCTAAAGCCATGGTCCTCAGTGGAAAAAGGGTGGAATGCTCTCCGGGTAGGGAGTGAGGTGCTATCTCAAGTGGAGGAGTTTAAGTGTCTTGGGGTTTGTTCACGAATGAAGGAAGAAGTGAAGGAGAATGAGATTAACAGATGGACTGGTGCAACTTTCAGAGTATTGCAGATTCTGTGCCAGTCCATTATGGTGAAGAGGGAGCTGAGCTTACCAGTCAGTCTACATTTGTACTCTCACCTATGGTCACAAATTTTGGGTAGTGACCAAAAGAATGAAGTCATGAATGCAAGTGGTCATAATGAGTTTTCTTTGCCGGGTAGCCGGACTATCCCTTCGAGTTAGGGTGATGGACGTACAGACAGACGTACTGACTGAATGATGGATGGATGGATGGATGGATGGATGGATGGATGGATGGATGGATGGATGGATGGATGGATGGATGGATGGAATAGGTTCAATTACAGTACATTTAAATATTGTTACTTTTTGAAAAGAAATATACAAGATGAAAAACCAGAACTGGGTTAATAGTTTTACAAAGGTTACAAATCATTACTATGGATTATAAAAATTAAATAAAAAAAACAACAGACTCTACATTACACAATGAAATGTAAAATTACTTTTAAGATGTAAACTATCGTCATCCATCACCACACACTGTCTTTTGAACCTTTACATGAACTCAAAAGTGGCTGAAAATAGGTTTGCTTTAAAATGGGGAAAAGTCTCATTCTCATCAAATTCTGGTTTCCTGGCAGTTCCAGAAATGTCACTTTCCCCATTCTAAGAAATGTAATAGAGGAACTCTTTTTCTCTTAGCTTTTACAGTCTCCGTCTTTCACCATCTTTCTGAACAAAAATATGCACACACATTACTGAAGAAGTGAATGTGCAAACTCATGAAGTCAAGCAGAAACAGGAACATGACACTAACTGATTCACTCCCTGCCTTTGCCTCACTGCACATCGCTTAATGATTTCAAAAATACTTATGAAGCCACAATAAAATTCTAAGCAAGCAAATTGTACTAAATGTACTTCATATCTTTTTTTACAAGTCTCTTTAGTAAGAGTAAGCTGTATTCAATAAATGAATGAAAATTTTAATTGATAAATTTGAAAATATCCCCAATTAAGTTTTACCAACTAGTACAATTCACAACAGTAAAACAAATTAAAATTCCTTTGCTAATAACGTTTGCTTGTTGCCCTTATTGTGAATAGTCTTTTTTCCCCGAACTTTTTCTGACACAATAGCATCATTGAGTCATTGTTGGCCTCCGAGTCACTTTAATCGGCGATATACAACAAGACATACAGTGAGGCACCAATGTGGGTGTGCAGTCTAGTTAGCATTCACAAAAGCAACATGTTTAGTCATTTGCCAGCCAGAAAGTAAAGATGTAAAATGTGTCTTTAAGTGTTCTATTTGTGTTTAAGGTTTAGCATAAACAGTCTGACTTCTATATGTTAATGCATTCTATAATAAAAACCATTGATGAGTGAAAAGGAAACGGATCAGGTCAGATTAGTTTTACTCTTCATAACATATCTGATCACTTATAGTTAAATGAATAAAACAATAATTACTTTTCAGTTCTAAGATTGTGGCAAAAAAGTTTATAATTGGTATAATTTAGTCAACTTAGCAAAATGATCAATAAAACACATCATCATTTACATTAAATGTATAATAAAACTGTGTTGGACTTTTCAGATGGACCAGATTTTGATTATTTAGCAAAGTTTCAGATGAAAATATATTAATTTACCCATCCTCTCCATTCTTTTTTCCAAACACTTTAGCCAATAGCTGACCAAAGAGCAATAACAACATTTTTTTTTTTTTTTCATTTAGCCTTTATTTATCCAGGTTAGTCTCATTGAGCCACGAGAACTCATTTTCAAGAGAGACCTGTTTAGGGAGCACATGGTGGGGGTTAAGGGCCTTGCTCATGGGCCCAGAGTGGGGCGAATGAGGGTGGGGGCAAGTGTGGGTGTTTCACCTACCCCACCCACAATTTTGATGTTGTCGGGGCCGGGCCGTGAACCGGCGATCTTCGGATCACAAGCCCACCTCTCTAACCTCTGCGCCACCACTCCCCGTGGTAACATACAAATGTTAGGAACGTACCAAACCTGAACGTACTGAAATAACCTCTAAAAATTCCTCAGTTAGTTATAGTTAACAGTTACGGAAAAATCATCCACCTTATATAACTGCTTAAAGTAGACCCCCACCACCACCAACCCCACAATAAACTAGTCTGTCACTTAGAGCTATTTCAGCCTGACTCTCTCTCTCTCTCTCTCTCTCTCTATATATATATATATATATATATATATATATATATATATATATATATATATATTCTGCTTAAAACTTTTTCAGAGCCTTTAGTTAATCTAATAATAAAAAAGCAAAAGCATATAAATAGCAATGATATAAACAACAAACAATATTGAAAGGAATGCGTTATTTTATGATGTATGCTAATATTTGGATCAAAAATGCATTCATAATGGGATCTTCATGTGGTTAATTTTTCCCCTATGTTCTCCTACTAGAGGGTAGTAATGTTACTGCGAGGTTATGAGAATATTTGAAAAAAAAAAATACAAAATAGTACAAATTTAGAAGGTGTTTATTAACGGACACTAAATAAATAAATAAATAAAACAAGAAGTGAGTAATTTTTTTCCCCATGATACTTCCTGAAAGTTAAACTGCGCTCAAATTTGGCTGAAAACAGTTTTGAATGGAACTGTGTTGAACTGTACATTTTGAGGTTGAAATAGCTTTTAATTAGATTTAATACATTTAGCTTACAGGTTGGTCAAACTAGGCTTTACATTAAATTGGAATGAATTGCAAAAATGTGAAACAAACTTCAAATTGGACTCGTTTTACGTTTTTGTAAACAGGTTCAAGTGAAATTTTGTGCAGAAGCCACGTTAGAATCATTCAACATTTCTTCATAGATTTTCTAATTCCCTTTTTACTCTTGTATCCGTGAAACCTTTAGGCCCAACTGAACTGTGTTATGAAATAATTTATTGTGTAAACTGTTGCAACAAGCAGCACAAACTGCAATAAACAATGTGTAAACATCATGAGCTACATTTTTTATGCATGTCTTCTCTTGAATTTGATTTTAAAGTCTAGCTCTGAAAGCAGGAGAGCACATAAGTGTACTTGGGTAATTGTTTTATGATAACAAAAACTTATTTCTTATTTTTATACTTTGAAAAGAACAAGATTAAAAACATTTTGATTTCAGTCAACACACAAAAAGAATGACTTTAATTAATCCACTTGCATTATGCCTCTAACAAATGTTAAAGCACAAATACATAAACTGCTATTTTTGATCAATTTAGTGGCAGCATGCTATCAAATCTGAAGGACTGAATTAAGAAAACTTTATTATGTGTAAATATACCTCGTTATCTGTGACCTCGTGGTGAAATCCAGGGATCTCATCGACCGCAGGACCTCTATACAGCCCAGGTACTGCAAAGAAAGAATGACATGTTCAATAAACCTCACAGTTTTGTTTATCAACCCAAATGAACAAGGTTAATGTATACACAGTCATGTATGAAAAATACTACTGTGTGCACACACAGATAATATGAGATGATGACAAGTGGCTGGAAAGAAAGGGGGGGAGCATAAATAAAAACAAAATGCAATGACGTGCAGAGAGCTCTTAAACCAACAATTTATTCAAAATGGAACGCTTGAAGTTTGATTTTGTTCACTCCCTTGCTGTCGCCTCGCCACAGCGAGTGAACTTGTCTGAATGGGCAGGAAACAATCGCCAAACCTTATTGTTGAAACTTGGGCTCAAACCTGCAGCCTCAGGATTATATGACCGCGGCACTCACCACCAAATTGCCACAGCCCAAAATAAAACAGTAAAAATATCAAATGTTTAAACTAAGAAACAGTATCTTTGTATGAAAGAAATCCTGTAAGTTTGATTTTCATGTCAGCAACACATCTTAAAAGCTTGTGACAGGGCCATGTTCTCCTCTGTGAAGCATTCTCTTGTAACAAGACTTTGTGAATGTCTTGGAACTGAGGAGACTTGTTGCTGGAGTTTTTGGATGCAAGACTCTAGCTGGTTAACTGTCCTTGGTCGTCATTGCCAGATTTTCTGTTTCATGATGCGTCAAATGTTTTTAAATGGTAAGAACACTCGCAGTCACACGTTGAAAAAGGTATGTTCAGCACCCACTCTTCCACTATGAAGCTACTGTATGTTGACGAACACAGCACAATGACAGCTTCGCTGAAGGTTTTTAATGATGTCATTGAAGCACTGGATGCTAAGGATTATTGTGCTGCACTTTACTTTGACCTGTCTAAAGCTTTTGACACTGTGGATCATGACATCTTATGTCATAAGCTCTCAGAAATTGGTTTCTCAGATCACACCACTGGTTGGTTCACTAACTATCTTTCAGATCGGAGGCAATGTGTTCAACATAATGGTACTTCTTCCTGTTATTTAATGGTTAACAATGGTGTACCACAAGGCTCAGTCTTAGGACCCACCCTCTTCACAATCTACATAATGTACCATAGGTAATGTAGGTCAGAGCATTCCTGATGCATCCTTACATTTCTATGCTGATTATACAGTTGTTTATTGTCGAGCTAAAACAGTTGCTAAAGTTTTCCAGCTTTTGCACTCTGCTTTTGACATCATCCAGTCAGATTTGTTCTGTCTCAAACTTGTCCTAAACACCAACAAAACCAAAGGGATGTTGTTTTCAAACAGGAAGTTGGTCCCAGAAGTTCTTCCCTTGATTTTATCTTCAAATGGTGTCCCTATTGAGTTTGTCGATTCCTACAAATACTTGGGTATCTTGATCGACTCGCATCTCTCTTTAAAGCATCACGTCGAAAACTTGGTTAAGAAACTGAAAGTTAAATTGGGTTTCATTTCCAGAAATAGATCCCGTCTTACTCTGAATGCTAGGAAACACCTTGTAACTGCGACTTTCCTTCCCCTCCATCGACTACGGTGACATTATTTACACGAATGCTCCTACAAGAACCCTGCAGATTTTGGACGCTGCCTATCATGGTGCGCTAAGATTCATGACTGGCTGTAACTACCATACCCATCACTGCACCCTGTATTTACTGGTTAACTGGTCATCATTAACTTCACGCAGACTCTCTCACTGGTACATTTTCATCTTTAAATCACTTCTTGGTCTGTTGCCTTCATACGTCTCCTGCATGTCTCTGCGTGAGTGCAGCTACAGCGTGCGCTCTCAGGACATTATTACCTGCAGTGTCCCCTCAGTGTGGACTGAACTAGGTAAAAGGGTCTTCTCCTACTCCGCTCCTGTTTCCTGGAATATCTTGCAAAAAGATCTGAAGCTCTCAACCTTGACCTCTCTAAGTGGCTTCAAACATCTGCTAAGTTCATGGGAAAAACCAATACAGACATGTTCCCGTTTTTAGTATTTTACATCGATTCTGTTAAGTTTTATTTAACCAGGCAAATCCCACTGTGACCACAGATCTTTTTTGCAAGGGAGGCCTGAAGGCAGCCTAACATGCATGTTTTTGCTTTACACTGTAGCTGTTGTTGTTTTGTTGTTTAATATCATTTTCTTTCATTTATTTTTCCCAATTTATATGCTTTCTTTTATGACCGTCTATTGTTGTCTACTGTTGACATTCTTTGTTAAAAACAGGTCTCTCTTGTAAATGAGTCCTCGAGGCTCAATGAGAGTAACCTGTCTAAATAAAGGTTGAATGATGTCATACAGTAAGTGCAGTTTTTACTTTGGCATTGCCTTGCTGGAATATGCAAGACCTTCCCTGAAAAAGATCTGGATAGGAGCAAATGTTCTCAAACCTGTATGTACTTTTCTGCATTGTGCTGGTTTCTGCAGTGATGACACCCTTCCAGATATGTAAACTGCACATGCAATAGGCATTAACTGATCCCATCAGAAAGGCAGGGCAGATCACTTTTACCAGGCTGGATGGTCCCTTTCCTTGTTAGTATGAGGGGAGTCAGGGGGTTCAAAAAGAATGTCAAATATTGATTTGTCTGACCACAGACCAGTTTTTCATGTTGCCTCAGTCCATTTTAAACAAGCTTTGGCCCAGAAAATATGGTGGGGTTTCTGGATAGTGGTCACATATTGCTTCTTTGCAAGCTAGAGCTTTACGAACTGTGTTTACAGATGACGATTTGTGGAAGTATTTATGAGCACATGCGCTGATTTTCATAGGAGAATCTATGCTATTCCGAATGCTTTTTGTTTGTTTGTTTGTATCACTTAGTTTTACAGCTTTTTTTTATTTTTTACTAATTGTCAACATTTATTAGATGTGTTTTTGCCATATAATTCAAATTACCTTATTTTTTTCCTAAACATAATGCCATTGCACAGTTTGTTTAAAATGTATACTATGATTTATTGTGAATAAAAAAGCTGTTTGTAAGATTTGCAAATAGGAAATCTCATAAACTATAATAACACATGTTTATTGAGCTTGTAAATTTGACCAATGTTTAGAAGCGTTAGACCAAAACATATCACTTTCATTCAGTTTTGGTGTTTTGTAGGATATTATTATACGTCAGTATATCATCTCGTTTGCACAGAGCACAAAAGACGACCAAATCTTCAGAGAAACATTACACTTGTCAAACTATAGAGTGGCTGAACTGACCATTTCATTTATTCAAAAACTTGCCCATGTCACGATTTTGAGTTTTCAGTTTAAAATAGAAACATTTAACTAGAGACCGAACAAAGCCAATGCAAACTTGCAACAAAAAAACACATTAGCACTCCTATCCCATAAATGTATCTGTGGTACCAGAGATCTGCTCACATTACAGACGTCACACAACTGATTAATATTGCACAGTGCAGGAACATTTTGTGCTGACAAGTTCCTATCGTTAGCAGAATCACATTCATAATATGGCTGTAAACAAAACAGGTATTCAGACAATCTAATAGTGTTGCTCCTTTTATAGAAACAGAACTGGCCTAGTACCATAAACATCAAATGACTTCTTGTCTCTCCAGTGAGAGTTTTGAAACTTCTGGCAAACAAACACAAGTTTTGTCAAAGTGACATTTACAGGTTTGTCATCTATTTTCAGAACAATGAAAAGTGAGAAGCTCAACTCAGGAGAGCCAAAAATATATCAAACAGTTCTAAAACTGGAGGAGAAAACCTGCTCTGAGCACGACAGAGATGGTTCTTCTCTTGTGGTGAAACAAGCAGATTTACTATATAGTTTACCTTTGGAGTATTTATTTATAATCGATTCCCAGTGTCCAATGCAACCCATCATCAATATTCAACCAAAGCTACTAGCACACAAATTTTTAGCTCAATATCTGTAAAAAATTACGCAGTTATAGTAATTTTTGTGTTCACTAAGGTTGAGTAACTGGGCCATTTTGAATCTGGCTGCCTAAAAGTTAATCTGTTGTAATCAACATCTAATGACAACTTTCTAAGTATTTAATTGCAATATGTCCAGTGGATCAGGAGATATTTTGCTAACAGATAGGTTGGCTCAATTCCAACAGTAACTGTTAGTTTTAAGTAAAGTTTTAAACCAAAATTTCACATGATCTCTAGGTGTTCAGAGCATAAATTAGAGGTGTCTGAACAACTACCACCCAAATTTTTATCTTAAAATTTGTAAATATTTGACAAAGTGAGAGCCACTTCTGTGTTTGCTAAGGTTGATTAGCTGTGGTAGCCATCTTGAATCAGGTTGACTCCAAACATTAATAAAATGTAGAGTGCGTCCAAAAAAAGTTTAATTAAAATCTGGGCTGTGGTGCATGAGATACCGTATTTTGCCAAAATACAGACAAATGAGCACATAAAGACGGACAATTACATTATCACCCATCAACATTTCATGGTGTCAGGCAATAAAAATAGAATTTCCAGCTATTCCATGCTGTACTGCAGCTGGATTGCAGTTTTTGTTGGAAAAAAGACAAGATCCACTTCTGTACAGTCAAACAGATGAGGTCAACAAAATAACAACTGAATCCAAAAAATGTTTTTTAAGGTTCTTTTTGGAGGAAAAAAGGTACACATTTGGCTAAATGAAAAAGCTGTGATTATATATATATATATATAGATATGTGTGTGTGCTAAGCCATGCCTTTTTTTTTAAACACGAGATTAATCTTTGCATTGTTAGTTTTCAGCATGATCCGAGTTCTGATTAATCAACCCTCTTGTTTATTTATAATTCAAAAATATATTTTTGTTTTCATTAAAAACAGCTTCTTTGGGTCAAAAAAAAAGATCAACTTATTATTGAAAAAATATAAATAAAAAAACAAACAAAAAAGCAAGCTCAGTTATCTAGAAAAAACCATAGTATATGTTAGTTATGTGCGATATCATGTGCGTTTAAGCTAATATTATTACATGTGAAATACTTATTTATACCAATTCATCCTACTTGCACCATTATATTCTATCATGTTGTTGTTTACTAGATTTCTTTTGGATCTTGTAAATATTACAGTATATTTCTTTTTCACTTTTTGGTACTTGATTGTGTACCCTTATAGCATGCTTTAATATTTCTTGTTTGTTTTTAGCGAGTCAGATCGGTTCTTTTCATCCAAAACATTTCATTGCTTTGTTGACCTTGTGTCAACCTGCATATGACAAACAACATAACAAATTGTAAAATTTATAATGCTTTATCTCAATATACCTTCAAGAAAATACATTTCTAAGCATGTCCATTTTTAGCTTCCATAGAGGTGGCAAGAAACACAATTAGCAACTTATATTAATATTTAGATATAGGAACCTAACACAGAAGTCCATCAATCATCTTCCGCATGTTCCGAAGTCAGGTCACAGGGGCAGCAGCTTGAGCAGGGAGGTCCTCCAGACATCTCTTTCCACAGCCATCTCTTCCAGCTCTTCTGGGAGGACTCCAAGGCGTTCCCAGGCCAGCCGAGAGACATAGTCTCTCCAGCGTGCCCTGGGTCTTCCCCAGGGTCTCCTCCCAGTTGAACATGCCCCAAGAACCTCAATTGGCTCCTTTCGATGTGGAGGAGCAGCAGTTCTACTCTGAGTCTCTCCTGAATAACTGAACCTTATCTCTAAGGGAGAGTCCAACTACCCTGCGGAGGAAACTCATTTAAACCGCTTGTATCCACGATCTCATCCTTTCGGTCACCCCAGAGTTCGTGGCCATAGGTGAGGGTAGGAATGTAGACCGACCGGTAAACAGAGAGCTTTGCCTTACAGCTCAGCTCCCTCTTTTCCACAACAGACCAGCACAGAGTCCACAATACTGCAGACATCAACACAGAAGTCAAAGCCAAAACAGCAGGAGCACTCCCTGTAGGCTGGCTGCAGTAAAAGATTGAGCCATGTAAAGAAATGGAGTGTTTGCCTGACTAAATAAATATATGAAAATTAACCTCAGGTCATTTTTTTCTATAAATTTGCTTCTAATGGTTAATGGAGTTCTTACCTTGCTGTTTTTTTCAGACATGTTTAGTTGTAATTAGTTATTTGATACCTAAAAACAATCAAACCATCGCTTCCTGTGAACACCACTGTAGGCAGGATTTTCATGCACAGACTCCAAATGACAGCATAAACCGGACATTGCCATCTTCAATTTTGAAAAGGAGGTGGAGACACATTATTTTTTATGTCAACGCACTAAATACAGAAAACTGATGATTTGTATCCTTCAGATTAGGGTAGGGCATGCAGAGGACAGAGTACGATGGAGGAGGATGACTCGCTGTGGCAACCCCTGAAGAGGGAAAAGCCGAAACAAGATCTGTAAACAAACAACTGTTAGCTAACATGTGGGTTAAGTGTAGCTATAAATCTGGCAACGAATCAGTTACTTTCAGACTTTTTATCCTGAGCTAAACAAAATACAGTGTGTGTGTTTCAGCAGTCACAGCACCCCTGAATGGTCTGGCAACACAATGGATTGAACTTTTTTCCCACTAGAAAGCAGCAAATATTGGAGATTTGTTACCATAAAAGCGTAGGATCATTCAAATATTTTTCATTATGAACACATGAACAATGTTCAGGTTTGAATGCTAAAATAGAAGTGTGAAAGGAAACTATGTCACAGTCAGTCGATGCCCCTTTAGTGTAATGGTGCAGGATGTGCGAGGAGTGCCCACATCACGCTAATTAAAAGTGCTGTGAGCAGAAACACCACGCTGAACTCAATGCACCCAGGACACAAACCACAAGCAAGGGTGGGTGTGGGGGTGGTCAGGCCAGACCCATTTCCCCTCTCACTGTGAGGATGCTTTCAGCAGCATTGACTGGACAAACAAGCGTGCTCTGCCTTAATGCAGTCAATGAAATGCCATGCTGGCCACATATACTGTAGGCTTTATTAAGGCATGTTGCAGAAGGTGTCATGTGATGCCAATCATCCTGAGTAATTTGATTAGAAAAATAACACGTTTCATCTGGTGATGCTGATCAGCTTTTTGCTCAGTTGAACTATAGAATTAGAAATAAAATATTTTCATGGTTTCAGTGAAAATGGTTTCTTCCATCCCCCCATTCACTTCATACCTTGAAGAGCCGGAGCTCAGCATCATCACTCTCTATGCTAGTGACTCATTGCTGGCATGATGACATTCACTGCTATTCTACTTGTGCACCAACTTAAATGATGTACGACGGCTGAAGCACATTAAGGAGAGACACAGCTGTGATGTGACAGACATCTTTTTCCACATCCAGATGATTCAGGAAGCCAACACAGTCGTACAGCTCAGATAGGTGCACAATGTACAGAAATAACACATCACCATGGTTACGAAAGCATAACCCTGTAGCTTCAAACACGAGCCAGAGAGAGCAGATAAACTATAATTAATTAAGTAGGCTTTAACAACAGTCTTATGTTGCTGTCAGTGGCTTCATCATATGTTTTTAGAAGTTTTGACCTCCTAAATATCCTGAATTACTCGGTCTGTGTTCTGTACTCCTTTGCTCTGCATTCTGCTCTAGCCAACCCACATACACCCACTCAAGGGCATGTTGTGATGCGCAAATGTGACTGCGTTATCACCCTTTAATCCTCCTCAGATGCAGCTAAAGTCTAGTCATTTAACGGAAGGAAATAATGGTTAATGACGGGGGAGATAGTGAGTCCACCAACCTTCACAATGTATGTGACTCCTGGACCAGAAATCTTCTCATTTGAGTGGAGACATCCTCTGGAGGATTTGCTCACAAGTCCGCCACCTCCACCTGGATTCCAGTCCTCTCCGCTGGGCTGGAGATCATCAAGCCTGCTCTTTTTGCTCATGCTGACAGCTGGCTCCAGCTGCGTGCAGTGGGTTGAGCTGCACGAAGAGCCTCCCACACCAGGGACCGCTGCTGCTGCTGCCGCTGCCGCTGCTGATGCTGCCGCCACACTGGGGCTCGAACCACTGGAGGTGCCTGAGCCTGATCCTCCACCCCCCTGCAGCTTGGACACAGCCAGGTCCTTGACAGCTGAGGGCAGACCCTTGATGCCCAGCAAGCTGCCCGAGTTGCTGAATTTCAGGCTGGAGACTTTGTTGATGAGGGTACCGAGGGTAGTGGCTCCATCTTCCAGGTGGTCAGAGCCGTGGCTGGTGGTGGTGCTGGAAGGAGCGTTGGTGGAAGAGGGCTGAACCTCAGCTGGGGGTGTGTAAGATGGCTCGGCAGCAGGCTGGGGGGAGGCCGAAACCTTGGGGTTCATGGACAGGCCGTGGAGAAGCTCATCGACGGACGTTACAGACTCATTCCTGAAGCGGTTGTACTTAGTACGGTGAAGCATACCCTTCTCTCTCTTGCTCTCTCCCCTCTCCTCACCAACCGACACACAGCCTGCCTTCTTCACAAGCGTGCAGGCAGACGTGGCTGAGTCGAGCCGAGTCCCCTCTCCTGTAACATAGTAGCAACCGTACAGGCAGCAAACGCCTTTCAGCAATCACAGGCCACCTGACTGGATGTTTTTAAAGGGTACAGTGGTGGTTGTGCTGAGCCAGTGCTGCTGCTGTCGCCAAAGTCCAATCTGCTATTAATAAAATCCAGAGCTGAAATCCAATTCGTCAGAGAGATAAACACAGAAAAAAAGCCATGGAAACACAACACTGAAGGACAGGAAGAGGATTACAAAACACTGCCAGTGTTGGGGCGCAGCTTTACCACTGGTGATGCTGCTGCTGCTTTTTAAAATGTTCTTGCCTTAAAATCCAAAGACAAAAAGTAAAAAAATCACTAAAAACATCGGTATTGCCGACGATCACAGACACTGCAAAGAAAAAAGCAAATCCCCTCTGCTGACTTCTGCCTGCCGGCTCAGAGCTAAAGCATGACTCACTGATCTGAGAAAACCTCAACAAAAGGCTTGCTGAACACTGCAAATCACTTCCTGTTGGAAGGAGAGAGAGAAAAACTCGTACTGACAACACACTAGAACCAATCAATTTCTACATTCTCCACTTTCATATATTATATATTTTTTGTCACAACACTTTTGTTTCTGAGAAAAGGAAACTGGGAGCAAGAGAAAGCTTGATAGTTTAATTAACTGGAACTCCCGTTTTAAACCACTGTTATAAAAACAAATGACGAGATAAAAGCTGTTACACAAAAAACTACTAGGATAAATGACTATAAATGTTGGGAAATAAATAATAAAAACTGGTCAATTTAAACGTACTGTCTGCTAAAGCTAAAACACGTGTTTAAAAATGTTTCACCAAAGAATAAGCAAGAAAAATGTAAAATTGTAGCACAACTGGCAAGAACATCTTATTGCCCATGTCTCTTTATAACAGCAGCACAGCATGCGCAGATATCATGCCTGGACTGCAGGTTCGTACTATCTAAAAGCTACGACTCAACACACTTGTCATTTCTCCGTCATAACTATAATCAAGACGTTAAATCTAAAAATAAAACAAAAGACATTGCTAAATTTCTGACAAACACAACTGTTAAAACAATCCCCCTAATGTGTCGCACGTAAATCTGTTAGCATTTTGAAATAATTTTTAAAAAGACACACACGCAAATAAAAGTTTAACAAGAGAGCAGAAATGGGTCGACAAAAATATCCAGCACTGATCCTGGCTGAATTCTATGAATAAATTGCACAAATTAAAAATAAATAAATAACCAGTTACACATTTCTCAGGCAGATAAGTCAACGGAACAACCAACAGGATATCATCAAACACCCAGAGAATCTCCTTAAAATCAGCAGCAGCACAGCGTTAGTTTCTCTCCTCGGTAGAGAAAAAGCACACGTTCAAATAAAAATGTCCTCAGTAGCATCTAGGCAAAGCTGAAAGACTGACTCATTCATAAGCAGCTTCCGCTCTCACTGTGCTGCAGATTTCGCACTGCAGTCGTTCCCAATTTCTCTCTTTCCTGCCTGGCAAGAGAAAGAAAAAAAGACAGCACGCCTGCCTTTTCTCCTCAGAAACAAAGGCTGACATAGAGGCAGGGATGATGAGGCAGGCCCTCGTAAATCAGAAGAACAGGACAAAAAAAGGTAAGAAAAAGAGCAGAAGACCACAGAAAAAGAACGTGCGATATTTAGCCTTTTATGTGAATGAAATAGCCGGCTGGCATGCCAGTGTTTCTGTGAATGGAAGCAAGGCCTTTCTGCCTCTGCAAGGCAATCCCTTGGGATGGCAGGGTCTCATCCAATGAGGAGCCAGCTGGATGACTCATTCAGGGGAGGTTTGCAGAATAGTGGAACAAACCATTCCAGACAACGATGTGCATTTTTGGTTTTTCTTCCATTCCATTTAAAAACACTGCAGAGATGACTGGATACAAAATGTTTGAATCAAATAATCACAGAACATTCTGCTCACAGAATAAGAAACAAGACAAACGTGCAAAACACAAAAAGAGGGACGTACTGCCACCCCGGTGAGGTTGGTTGTCATCATTATCACTTTTTTTCCCCTCCCATTTACATTCATGTGCACAGTTACCACCTACACATTTATTTCTAATTCACTATTTATATTTAAAAGAAGAAATACGTATGACTAATATTTTTGGAGCTTATCAATTTATTCGAACTCAGTGCTTTTCCCTTTACGTTTAAAGAAAATGTAAGAGATTTAGCAATATATAAAAAAAAATTACTAAAGATCAAGTGTCTCTTAATCATAAATATATGTCTGAGCATAGTAAAATATAAAATATTAAGGCACAACTACTTGAACAACAGTAAATTATGCAAGCTATCAGTTCAAGTTAGTCGAACCTAAAACACCTGAACATAAATAAATTGAATGCATACTTATATTCAAGTAATTTGTCTCTAACTACTGAACAGGCATAAGACTAATTCATTCAACATTTATTTATACAGGTTAGTTCCCATTAAGTCTTGAGGACTTATTTACAAATATTTTTCATTAGAAGGTTAAAAAGAAATTAAGACATTCTTTAATGCCACAAATCTGTAAAATATGCTTTTCTGTGTGTACATGAACATTTTTCCCTCCTAGCATGAAGCTTAGCTTTACTGTGAACTGAATACTCTGTTTCATGTTCTATTAGGCCTTACATCTGCTTTTGGTCCATTGACCATGAGATCCTCATTTCTAGGCTGGAGCAGTGGGTAGGCATCACAAGATTAGCCCTCGAATGGTTTAGATCCTACCTCTCTGGCAGAACCTGTTGCGTCAACATCAAGGATTTTATTTCAACCTCGGCAGCTCTTGGGCGGGTGTTATCGCAGGTGTTAATTTTTGTTTCTCTTCTCTTTTCTTTATACCTGCTGCCACTAGGTGCTATTTTTTGTAAACACGGCACACTTTTTCATTTTTACGCCGATGACTGTCAAATTTACTTCTCTCTGAAGCACAGGTGAACACTCTATTCAACGTCTTCTTGACTGCGTGGCTAACATCAGGGACTGGATTGCTTTAAATTTGTAAAATTTTAATGAAAAGAAGACTGAGGTCATGTTGTTTCCTCCTAATGGCACGATCAAAAGCCACTGTATCAACCTTCCCTCTCTAACCCTGTTAGAGAAACAAGTTGTCACTAATCTGAGAGGAAAAAATGAACCCTTCCATGAAACTAAACAGTCATGTAAACACGATTGTTAAATTCTGTTTTTATCTATTTTTTTCAGTTGAGGCGACGGTCTAAATTGAAGCCCATACTGTCCAAAAGTAACCTTGAGACAGTAATACATGCTTTCATAACATCCAGGCTTGATTACTGTAATGCGCTTCTTTATGGTATCAGTCAAACCTTTATTGCACATTTACAACTGGTCCAAAATGCTGCAACCCAATTTTTAACTGGTACATGCAAAATAAAGCACATTACACCAGTTTTAGCCTCCCTGCACTGGCTCCCGGTTCACCTTCAATTTCATTTTAAAATCTTTCTGTATGTTTTTAAATGACTTAACAGTTCTTCCCCTCTTATGTCATTGATCTGCTGCAGCCATATGTCCCACAGTGTTCTATGAGGTCAGCAGACGCCTCAGAGCCTCTCTCTACATATTTTCTGAACTGTAATTTTTTTGCTATGGATCTGATCAGTTGGTCTCTCAATGCAGTAGATAATTTTTATCGACGAGAAGACTAGCTTCAGGCGAGCTGACTTTTTTTGACAAGAAGACAAGCACCAAGGATGCATATTCAATTGGGTTTATAATAACCGGTTTCCTTCTTTTTGGATTTTGCTGGTTCCTGGTCTATCAACAAACAAGGAAGTCATCAGCAGAAAGTTTGGCCCTGGTCAGACTGCCTGTGTCTGTCCACTTAATTTGAATGTTTGGGATTCGAGAGGACCTGCAAATACTCAAGGCAGACATGAATCAGTAATGTTATTGATTATTATTATTATTATTATTGATTGTGGGGGAGTGGTGGCGCAGAGGTTAGAAGATGGACCTGTGATCGGAAAATTGCAGGTTCAACTCCTGGTACCGTCAACATCAAAATGCGGGTGGAAAAGGTGAAACACCCACACCTGCCTCCACCCTCATTTGCCCCACTCTGAGCCCCAAAGCAAGGCCCTTAACCCCCACCATTTGCTCCCTAAACAGGTCTCTCTTGAAAATGAGTTCTCGTGACTCAATGAGACTACATGTATAAGGGTAAATGGAAAAAAAAAACGTTATGCCTGTTCCCAAAACAATTGTTGCTTATCTGAATTCAGCTCCTAGGCTGGCCTTGACTGGCCACTTTATCTCAAATCGCCTGGATGCCTTGTAAATTGATGCTCTGCCCCCTCCCACTGAGGAAGTCTACGGACCTATCAGAGGGACCCAGCTGAACAAACGTGTCATCATTTCAGGACTTTCGGATTCTCTCTGGTGCTGTTCCAGGTTGACCTGAGGCTGTTAGACTCATGAATCTCTAACTAGAATAATCACTGTGAAAAACCATATCATGTTGCTGCTGATCTGTTTCATGTTGCTGCTGATCTGTTTCGTGTTGCTGCTGATCTGTTTCAATGTTGGTGTGTTCATGCGTGCACATCTGCTCGCGGACTCATGTTCATGTTTGTGCTGATGTTCTTGTTCTGTTCTGATGACAGCATTCTTGGTTCATATCTTGGATGTTATTACTGTTTTTCTTATACATGTTATTGTTGGATGTAACTGGGACCTTGTGTACATAATTTCGCTCCACCACATGTACCACATGAGGTGCGAATGACAATAAAGAAACTGACTCTGACTCTGACTTTGGCACAAGAGTGTTTACGGATCTCACCAGAGGGAACTGACTGATTGTACCATTCTTAGCAGAACTATTAAAGCGCCTCTGGAGTGTCCTTGAC